TCTTGAAGGTCCTTGGGGTGGGAGTAGAAAAGAGTAGAGAGGAGCCTATTCAGGGTCCAAGGAAGAGGTGGTTTATGGGTCTGCCCATCACTTTTCAATGAAAGGAGGAGATCAGACAGAGTACGTGGGTGGTGATTTTTGTTGCTGTTGTTTTTGCGTTGTTTTTGCTTTTAGTGATATATACATCTGTAAAGATCTGTGCACGTGACCCTCCTTGTAGGGTTCAAGAATTGCGTCCAGAAATGGGATTTAAACATTTTTGGTAATTTTTGTACTTCTAGGTTGTAGTTCAAAGAAAGGTTAGGGCAGTTGTGGGAAAGGGAGACTTACAGTGGGTGATTGGACCCTTGTAAACAGATCCGCAAATAAAAATTCTCTTTATCTGCAAATCCCGATACTCTGTCTTCAGTATCAGAAACCTACCCTGTCACCCTTCTCCTGATATATGTCTGTGTGTCTGTCTATCTAAATTGCCTACATGAGGCAGTGCTCATTTGATCTGAATCAAGGCTTTAGACTGCTACATAAAACACCATTTATCTTTTTCATTTAGCAGATAAGTGTTGCTACATTAAGTCTTTAGCATACTCTATAATGATTTGTTGTCTGTTTGTGGCATTTATGGGTATGTGCAAGTGTTTGGGACACCTGCTATAAACCTAGAGCCTTGTTACACTTTATGCTGTGAGATGCGCAAATGTTGATGAGTATGTACAAGCACAAGCTTGAAGCAGTCACACTGCATGCCAGCAGGGGCTTGAAATTCTGAAATGTAACCCCCCCCCCCCGAATTCCAGGCTTTCCCCTAGCCCTGGGGCTCCCTTCCTGCCCCTTGGGGTTCCCCTCTGCCTCCTGACCCCCTGCCCCCACCCATGGGGCATCACTTGTGGCTGCCCACGTTGTTTGTCCCAGGGGAGCAGGCAGGGAAGGGTTAAACTGCTTGCACAGCTGGCACAGCAGGGCTGGTGGCTGGCACAAGTAAACAGGATACAGGGCATGGAAGAAGTGAGCAGGAATTTGGGGTGCTGGAGAGGGTGATGGGTAGAGGGCTGTGGGCCTGATCTGGGCCAGCAGGAGAGGGGGGCAGGTGGGGTCTATACACTAAAGTGTCCCCTAGCATGGCTGCAGCTTAGTACAGAAAGAAGTGGGTAGCGCAGATCAGAGCTAATCCTGAAGTGGCACTGTCCTGAAGTGGCATCACTGCTTAGCAAGTGCTTAAAGCCAGTTGCAGGTGTTAATGTGCAGACACTCCAAGGGTTAAGAGCTCTAGGGTCTGCCCAAAATTACCATGTAAGAAGGCCTCTAGAGTGGGAATGGTCCCTGCAGGCATTTGCTACTGTTGGGAGTAGTGTGGAAAGCTTGAGGTAAGTAACTTGGGGAGGGGGGGGTGTGGCCTGGTTTTGTGGGGGCAGGATGGGATGGGACGGGACTTGGGGGGCTAAAAATAGGTCTGAGTTGGGGGAGGAGGAAAGGGGATGTGTTTAGGAACAGCATAGCCCCAGGGCTGGGGTGAGTGGCTGAGCTTTCCCAGCCCTGGGGCTATGCTGCCAGTGCGTATAGGCATTTGCTAGTTTGGGTTCACCTCATCAAAGATCGAGTTAATCCTTTCTCAAGCTTAAATCAGGCACACCATTTTTTGGCAGATTCAGCCCTGCAAACATCTGCATGAGCGAGCATTTAGACTGACCTAACCATTGTTAGATTGATTTAAATGTAACAATTGTACATACTCCATGGCAGTACAAAACTCTGTATTAAATTTGTTTTTGGGTGAAACTGTCTTTTGGTATCAAAATACTTCCATTTTTACCACCATCCTTGTCACCTTCCAAATATCTCAGTGGACACATAACCCGATCTTAGTTAGATTTCTTGGGTAAATGAGTAGCTTTTAAAATCAGTGAATCCTATTTTAATTAGCTGTTTATTTTTGGACATTAAATGAGCTGCCTATAAAGAAATGGAATAAATTACCTGGTAGATTACTTTGTTTATTAAATAATCATCTACAATTAAAATGAGAAGAAATTAATTATTTAACCTCCTTGTCGGTGTTATCATTTTAATATAATTCTAAATTAAAACTTGGTTGTGGGAGTGAGTTGCTTGCTAGATTTGTTACTGATATAGCTATGTTATAAGTTGCTTTTTTAAAATTTTCATTACCCATTTAAAACTGCAGCATGCTCTGAAAGTTAGAAACCATTCTATGTATGTGGGTTGTCAGGGTTTCTGTTTTTTTGTAGAGGAGTTGTATTTAATGAAAACAATATACAGATGGTAAATAACTAAGCTACAGATCAAGCAGGAGCAGGCAATGCATGATAGATTTAAAATTAAATGTGTACCAGCATAAGATCAGAGCTTAGGCAAACATGCAATTGCAAAATCAGGTTTACACAGAGTTTTACCAATTCAGCTGTTTATGGTTCATCTGAGAAAACTGCATCCAACTTTGCTGTCTAACATTAAAAATTGGCATTTTCCTTACATTTAAATGTCATCAGACATCAGGCACTCTCTTTGCAGCAGGTTATCACATACTTGAAAAGTGTTGAGAGCCTTGCTCTTGGGGTAACAACAGATGCATGGACAACATCATTCACAAAAGAATGGCAATTGAATCACACACCTGTGGTGACTCAGGAATACAAACGTTGGGGCAAGTAAAGTAATTGCTTCTGCCATTTCAGACATTGCACAGTGACTTTTATTCACTTTAGTCTCCTAAAATGAGATTTGTGTGATTGGCTTTTGAGGATAAAGATGAAAATTCGAACCAAAAAAAGATTACATGTAGGTTGTAGAATATGAAACTTCTGGAATGTGCTAGAGTTAGTTTATCACCTGCCAGATGCATCCATTCTTTTAGCTCAGATTTGCTGTATGAATCGTCTGCCTGGACTAACCTGGGGAAGTGAGAAGGGATGGTTACATCCCTAAAATACCATTTTTGAGTAATGTAAAATGCGACAGTGGCCGTAATTTTTTGTCTCTCTTTCGAGAAGAAATTGTTATTGAGAGTGTTTGGCACGCTCACAATATCTTACGGGGTCATCATAATGTAAAACTTTAAATAACTAGGAGCATGTCTACATATGTCCCTGACTATGGAGTTGGTACTGCGCAGTCATTTAGTACTTGCTAAAGTACTAAACAATGCATGGGTCATTTTGATGAGCAACGAGCTACTGCACAGTAGCAGCGGCATCACACCAGGGTGAGTGTAGACAAAACGGGGGCCCTAAATTGAAGCAGTGGGTTTTTAAAAATACTACTTCAATCTAGGACCCTTTAAACCCCCATGTCGTGTGCACACTCAAACTTACCTGCCTCTCTGGCTCTACTTCAATGTAGGACCCTTTAAACCCCCATGTCATGTGCACACTCAAACTTACCTGCCTCTCTGGCGGCAGGGAGGGGTGGCCTAGCTGCTGGTGGTCAGAGTGGTCCCTGGGCTG